AAGTCGAATTACCAACTCGGTACTCCCTACCCACTAAAAACCCCTCTCTTTTCGCGAATTTTCTTTGACACACTGTCCCTCTGTCCTTCCCGAGATCCGTTTTCACATAACGTTAAAAAATAGTTATTATTACCTTGTTCGATGACTTCTGATGTATTGCTGTAATTGCTTGAAGGAGAAATGAATTTTCCGATAGATCGTACGTTCTCAAATTTAACGTAGATATCACGTTGCACAAGACAGAAATCCACACTAAATTATTAACTGAAAGTTTTTCTTCTTTTATGCACTGCATTCTTTTATAAACTTTAACGTAATCACATTTATTTATTCACTCGATGAGACGAGAAATTTACTGATGACTCTATCACTAATCACTGTCGAATAATAACTGTTGGCGATTAAAAATCACTCGATGAAAGAAACACGCGCGGACACGTTACTACACGACGCGACAATGCGACGATAATTACTCGGCGACTGCAAGTACCGCTGCTTCCTTGTCATGGTAGGTTGCGGTAGGTTAAGGTACTACTGGCGCTATCGAACGCGATCATGTGTTCGATTGAAGAATGCGTGGTAGACGTAAAGAATAAACATTTAACATATTAATATTATTATCATGAATGTGTGTGATGTCCATACATCGTATGATATCTATTTAAAAATTAATTAGATTAAATAAGTGTTTTTAAAATATTTATTACTTTTATACACCCATATTAAATATTAATATTAAATATTTATTTAATTATTTTATCTATATTATTTACTATTTTATTTAACTATTTTATTTAACTATTTTATCTTTAACTATTCTATTTATTTATTTATCTATTTCATCTATTTATTTTTAACTATTTATTATCAATGATCGAAAATCGGTCATTGATAATAAATAGTTAAAAATAAATAGATGAAATAGATAAATAAATAAATAGAATAGTTAAAGATAAAATAGTTAAATAAAATAGTTAAATAAAATAGTAAATAATATAGATAAAATAATTAAATAAATATTTAATATTAATATTTAATATGGGTGTATAAAAGTAATAAATATTTTAAAAACACTTATTTAATCTAATTAATTTTTAAATAGATATCATACGATGTATGGACATCACACACATTCATGATAATAATATTAATATGTTAAATGTTTATTCTTTACGTCTACCACGCATTCTTCAATCGAACACATGATCGCGTTCGATAGCGCCAGTAGTACCTTAACCTACCGCAACCTACCATGACAAGGAAGCAGCGGTACTTGCAGTCGCCGAGTAATTATCGTCGCATTGTCGCGTCGTGTAGTAACGTGTCCGCGCGTGTTTCTTTCATCGAGTGATTTTTAATCGCCAACAGTTATTATTCGACAGTGATTAGTGATAGAGTCATCAGTAAATTTCTCGTCTCATCGAGTGAATAAATAAATGTGATTACGTTAAAGTTTATAAAAGAATGCAGTGCATAAAAGAAGAAAAACTTTCAGTTAATAATTTAGTGTGGATTTCTGTCTTGTGCAACGTGATATCTACGTTAAATTTGAGAACGTACGATCTATCGGAAAATTCATTTCTCCTTCAAGCAATTACAGCAATACATCAGAAGTCATCGAACAAGGTAATAATAACTATTTTTTAACGTTATGTGAAAACGGATCTCGGGAAGGACAGAGGGACAGTGTGTCAAAGAAAATTCGCGAAAAGAGAGGGGTTTTTAGTGGGTAGGGAGTACCGAGTTGGTAATTCGACTTGGTACTCGAGTCCCACATAACTCACTGGATCGACCGGTGGGTATGCATAAAATGCATTTTCCCCTCTCGTAAAAAAAAAAAAAAAAAAAAAAAAAATACACGTGAGAGAGAGTGAGCGAATGAAAGAGAGAAAGAGAGAAAGACAGACAGACAGACAGCAGACAGAGAGAGAATGTATGTGTCGCATGTGTGTCTGTGTGTATAGCGATCAGCTGATCGCAGCAGGCGCCCCGCGTAAGCGCCCGCGTCTGACGGGTCTCGCGTCACCCTTGCCTGCCTCTTGTATCCGACCCGTCATGCGTTAACTTCTTTCTTTAATAATTCGAAAACTAAGCTTCGGACGAAATTTTGCAAAATGAAAAATCGTCTTAGAATTGACTCAACAATGTGTCATTTCACGGACACAGGGGTTATTTTGAATCACCCTGTATATACAAATTTACATAGTAGTATTAGAGTAAAATTTTACTTTTTCGTTTCTTAGTTTTTTTCGTATTTTTAATTTATTTAAAATCTTTTTGAGAATAATCATACATCAAAAATGCATAATATAATATAAATTCGAATTACTTTTCATGTTTAACTAGATATTAAAAATATTCTATGAAAAATAGATAGAAAAGATTATGGATTTACCTGTAGAAGTTAGAAGTCCTTTGCCTAACCAAGATTCCGTCAATTCATATGGATGTCCTTTCTTGATATTTACTGTGCTAGGCATAATAATCTATGAAAATAAATTTAAAAATAATGGAACCGTTTAATAATTTATCATTTATTATATTATATAAAATGTCTTTTCTTGAAATTTTTAATTTCTTTTAGAAACAGCTTCGTATGTAAAAAATTTTGTATATTCAATTCTTTTTGTTATTCAATAATGTTTTTCTCGATGTATCATTAGATTAAGAATTCTATATAATATTTTAAAGATATAACTGATAATTGAGATTAGATTGCTAAAGGGACATTAATTTGAAAATTTAATTTTGACTTCAACTATCTTTCTCGAAAGACATAATAAAGACATAAGAGATACAAAGGTTCATTAAGTTAGTTTTTAGATAACAGTGCTAAAAATATCAAAGAAATTGATAATGCCTAAATTGCTAAAAAAATCAAAGAAATTGATAATGCCAGTAAAATAAAAGACAAATAAAATAGATGCATGCATTATTTCTTAGTCTAATAACAAATTTTCTCTTTAATACAGGTAGTCTTGATTCATATTTTTAGCACTGTTATCTAAAAACTAACTTAATGTACCTTTGTATCTCTTATGTAGAACGAAAAGTATACTGAGTCAGCGTACATTATGATGATATTTTCTTTTACATATATACGTCTATAGCAAATTTTGACCAGTTATTACATAAACAGTGACACAGAATACGACACACACACACACATATGCACACACGCACGCACACAAACAAAATTGTTTCACTGAAATGTACATATTATTACAAATAAATATACACATAATGAACAAATAAATATACATATAATGAACAAATAAATATACATATAATGCATAATAACATATTATTTTCTATTTTACAATCATCAAAATGATAAATAGGAAAATCATATACTAGAAATAGATTATTTTCAATTGCAGATCTATATTTTAAAATAAATATTTATTTAAAAAAATTTTTTTTATTATAAAGAAAAAAAATTTTGTTATAATATTAAATAATTCATTATAATAGCAATTTAACTATTTTTCATATGTATGCAATTATATCAATTATGTCACTAATAACTGAGAAAATTTATTTTCTCCGTATAAATATATTGTGAAACTTTTTAATAATAATTGTATTATTTAATATTAATATAACATAATATTTAATAAAGCATTTATAAAAATTTACTCTATTGCAAGTAGTTTCACTTTCTCTCAATAACAAATTATCATGTATTTATAGATTTGTCATTACAAAAAATGTAATAACTGATATTTTTAGAAAGATACTTTTTACTCTTACTTTTAATAATTCAGGTTTATAGAGATTAATGAAGGGATTCATGCCTATCCAATATACGAAAATTCCTTCTTTAAATTGAAGCATACGTTGTATAAACCATTGTATTCGTTCTGTAAAGCATATAATCAGATTTAGTATTAATTTTTATTTTTATACTGATTATTTACATATTACACTAATCTAAAATAAATGACGAGTATCTTGTTTCAAATTTTTTTGGTAAAAATATATAAATGATATCTATCAAAACATAAGAACAATCTTATTTATAAAGTTCTTTACCATAATTTGTCAGTTTTAATAATTCAAATGTCACGCCAAAAGGAAATCTGCCATATACAGGAATGTTTTTGAGTTTTCGTCGAAGAATATATTGATGATATGATGTCGATATAATTGTGGGGATTATTAAAACAACAAATAGGGTGCATATTATTAAAGAGATTAAATCCATTTTCATCACCTGTAATATGTTGAATAGTTTAAGTTATGAATATGTATAAATATATAAATTATTATTTTTTTAAATAGATTCACATTGGAATTCATATACATTGACAAAGATATCATTGACATGATTATATCATTATTATTTAATTTATCATTATTATTATATTTATTTTTTACCTAACCGAGAGTATTTATTAAAAATGGATTATTGATGATATCATGACGATTAGTATATAAATTTCATATTATGTACAGTTACATTTTTAAATTGATATTCGCACTTTATTGATATCAAGACGGTTAGTATATAAATATATATCATTGCACAAACTCGAATATAAAATCAATATTAGTGAGAATCTTTCCGTTAATATTTTAACTCTTTCAAACATGGAATTTACGTTTCTTGGAAAGAGAGATTTACGAAAACCGCAATAAATTGTTTATATTCCATTTCTTTATCGTATTTCAATAATATTCTTAAAAAAATTTATTGCTTAATTGTAATAATAATAATTTTTCTTTTTTTAACGATATTGGATCTTATTTTAACGATATATTAAGTATTACTTAATTATTTGCTATATTTTTATATAATACGCTTAATTTGAAAAAATCAAGACAGTGAAAAGAAACATTTCACTATAAAATATTCATTCTTTTTTTAATGAGTTTTTTATTAAATCATATTTTAAGTATGCACAACTTACTTTGTGTTTTAAAAAAAATAAAAAACAAAATTAAAAATCTCAAGTAAATGATAATAATATGAGAAATAATAAGATTTCGATACTTACTATCGCAGCACTTAATATTGAATAAATGATATGTGGTCAAAATATTTGATACTCATAGCAGATATTGTTTCACAATTAATCACAACAATTTATTAAGCTTTATATAAATATAATGTAATTAAATACAAAAAGATAATCGAAGAAAAGAGAACGAAAGAGAATAGAATACCTTTCTAGAAAAAAAAAGAATCTTTTAAAGAATTTTTTTTAAAGCAAAATATTATAAGTCTGTACTTCTTTTTAGCTCAAGATGTAAAAGGAAACTGATACTGTGTATTTATACAAACGTTATGTTAGTATTATAGTTGCTATGTTATTACGCATTGTTATTACGCAAGTGTTTTTTGCTTTTGCGCACTTGAACCCGTAATATATAAACATACAATGTAAATGTATGCATTACATTGTATAAATTTATACAATGTAATGTACAAAATTATATTTATTTTGAGTTCTCTTTGTGATTGTCTGAAACATTTCTACATATGTAAAAAAATAGTGTATTGTAAACTGATCTTTTATTTATAACAATGAGATGCAAAATATATCAATCTGATTTAAATATAGTATAAAAAACTCGACGCTGCTGAATAATATACAAATAAATTTGGCAGCGTCGAATTTTTTAATAATTAAAATTTTTTAAATTACGAGCTACATGAATCAACTGTTCATCGTTGAAGAAATCGGGATTCTGACTTTTACGGCAAAGATGTAATAACTTTCGATGAAAATATAAACATAATTTTTCTTTATCTAATTATTTATCAGCAATCAATCACATCTAACACACACACACACACACACACACAAGCACACACACACAGAGAGAGAGAGAGAGAGAGAGAGAGAGAGAGAGAGAGAGAGAGAGAGAGACAGACAGACAAACAGACACACACACACACACACACACACACACACACACACACACACACACACACACACACACACTGTTGATAAACATAAAATAAAATCGCACTCTTTTATTCTCGACGTAATTTTCTATTTAAATATATCATTAATTTTTGTAGATAGTTATGACAACTATTTTACACAATTTTTTTTAATACAGCAATTTTTTATTAAAATCATTTTTTGTAAAATAGTTTTATACAATAATGTCTTACTACTGAGATGACTCGACTTCTTTTTTTTACCTTTTTTTGAAAAGGTAATTTTTTTAGGATTTAAATTGTACGACACGAAATATAAAGAATGTTTTGTACGGAAACGAATGTTTCGTATCATTCCCATATTTTTTTTTTCGCTTTGTCCATATGTGTTATAAAATGTTAATAGTTATAATTAAAATCTATTAATAAACTTTCTTTGTATGTGAAGCATAAAAATAGGAGCAATGGCAATTTATGATTTCTGCTAACACCAAAAAACAATATAAAAACGAAGAGAACGGAAATCTGATTAAATTATAAGTGTATTTTTTGAGTAGAATACAAATTCGACATTAAAGAAATTATTTTTGTCACACATAGCCAACGCATTTCTATTTATATAAAATGGAAAAGGAGCGATAAATATCTATGGTCTACGGTCTCGGTAACTTTCTTCATGTTACATAAATATTATTATAATATTATTATAATTAATAATAAATATTATTATAATTCTGCTAAATCTCAATAGAAGAACTCCAATATTCAGGTTTATCTCTTACGACTAATTATTTAATACTTATTGATCTTTTTGGAGAGTAGAGATTTTTATTCATAAGAAAAAATGGACTAAAAAATTAGAATCCGCTAAAAAATTAGAAAAGATGGAATTTAAAGTTTCTGCACCAGACAGAGTTATTTTATACGGAAAATCTTTGGCAATATATGGTAAACATATTATAGCGAGCGGAATAGATCTTCGTATCACGCTCAAATTCCACCAACTATCTCTAGAGTCAAAAATCATTAAGATAGAATTTCCTGATGTCCATATATCGTTAGACATACCTTTACAAATGATTGCAAACTTCATTTCCGATGAGAATTTTAATTTAGTTGTCGATGTTTATATTCTGTTCTTTAGAGACACGTGCAATGTTTTATCACCTTAAACGGTCTGTATTGCATATTCTTGGTTTATTTTTAGTTTTATGAAAGTAAGATTTCGTAACAAAGGTCAACAGAAAAAAAAAATAAAATTATTTCGAATTATCTTTTGAGACATTGAAGTTAATATTACATCTTATTTAATTAATTATATTAAATTTAATGCAACGCAATCTATATAAAACAATAAAAATAGCACAGTTAAGTTTTTGCGGTAAAATTATAAAATGAAATAAAATTAAATGACATAATTCAATAAACAGTATTTGTGTATATATTGTATATATACACATATTTTTTTATTTTTTCCGTATAAAATATTACATGCATGTACTTAAACATATTTACATGTATATATGCAAAACTCGTGCATATTGTAAAATTGCTATATATGAAATATTATTTTAAATACAGTGAGATAATGACAATTTGTTCATAACATTGAAAGTAATGTATTATTTTTATAATTATGTTCTGTTTTAATAATTTCTTATGAAAATATTGAGAAAATTTGACATAGAAGTTCATATTTAGAATTATGATTTCGAGGCATTGTTATTATATTTAGGAAAAATCAAAAACGATCGAAACGTATACAACAAGAAATATAAACGTTGTCTTGCGCGAGAACGAACGTTTCAAATTTTTATTGTCAGTAACTATTTTATTTGGTCCATGATAAGGATTCAATAGATGAAAATGTATCATTTCGATTTACATGTAAAACCTTGAAAGAAGAAACCAATTAATCTGCAGATAAAGGAAGAGCAGGAAATCGAGAATTTGATTAAATATATTTCCTGTAAGTATATCAATTTAATAATAAGTATTGACGACGAATTTCCTTTTGTTATAAGTCTGTAACTCATATTATACATTTGTGCAGAGTGATAAGAAGCGACAAATATACCATATCTTCGTCACATGAATACGTATGAATACATGTTACGTAGCAAATACATTTTGCATGGTTTTAATAAATAGAAGGCACGCAAATTTACTTTTCTGCGCACTACTGTTGAACAATACTGTTTGCAACTTTCATTTCTTTGAAAAAGCAAATATTCTTATTCATAAAAAGGATAATTTAAGATTTCCGCACCGGGTAGAATTATCTTAAGCGGAGAGTATGCGGCGATATATGGAAAAATCTTTGTGATGACCAATTTAAATCATCGTACTACGCTTAAATTCGCCGAATTAATTAAATATAAATTATTAAGAGACATTTGTAAGATAGAATTCCCTGATGTTCGTTTATCATTGAATTTACCTTTGGAATTAGTTAAAAATTTCCTCCATAATTATGATATTATTGGCACGAATAGTGTCCGCTTGTTTAAATATGTGCAATACTTTATTACCGCCAACGGTATGTAGAGTACATATGAGCAAAGATTTAGTTTACAAATGTTTTTTGTCTCCCTTTTTAATATCGTTCATCGAGAGCAACTCGATATAAGATATTTTTGCGTACACGGAAATACCGATGCACGCTGGTCTTGGCAGCACGACATCGTTCGCGGTATGTGTCGCGGCATGCTTTCTACATTGGTCGCGTCTACAGAGAGGTGATCATAATGAATTTAGTTTTTTTTTATTTTTTTTTTTTTTTTTTTTTTTTTATTGAGCAAAAGGCAAGCTTTGGCGGAACGCCATACAGCTAAATACATGTAAGATATATCGTCTGTTGGTAAAAATTATCCCTAGATAAGCATATTGGTGTTGTATGTTAGACTATTTGAGTATTATCGTAACTTATATAATTAAAACTAAAAAAAAATATATAAAAATATTCTTTTAACAGTCATAATATCAAAATCATAATCATAATCATAAGTTTTTAGAAAACGACTAGAAAACAATCAGAGAAAATTAATCGTGTTTTCCAATAGCTTAAATTAAAATTAAAATAAATATATATTGTATGGAAAAAATATATATAAGAGTATAAATTTATACTTAGGTAATCATATATGATTAAGACTAAACTACTAATGATATGAAAAGTTATTGATAAATAGACCAATATAGACGGGCTAATATTAGATATTACACTTAATCTCATTAATATAATGATCCATCGCTCTTACAATGTGTTCATCATAAACAAGAGTTAGCAGAGACTTGATTGGGAATGGAAAAGTATTTAGAGAGGAGGATACTTGGCGAGAAAAGACTATTCTTTCTTTATCAAAACGACTGCATTCCCAGAACACATGGTCTAACGTTTCCGGACTGTCACAATTGGGACATCTCGAGGAAGGCACTATGGAGAATCTTGGAGAAGCTTTCATTTAAGGATGTATGTCCACATCTCATTCTACATATTGAAGTAATGCCTTTACGCGAGATATTGAATTGATCGAACCAGGGAGATCTATTGTCTGTCCAGTAGTTTTCCATGTAACAAGAAGCCTTATTTTTATTATTTTTTCCTTTACACCATTTGGAAAACGATTTGAATAGCTCATTCTTCCAAGTTGCTTTAAAATCTCTGATAGACGTATTAATTGGATAGTCTATTCCAAATTTAGGAGCCTCTTTGGCCAATGCATCAGCCATTTCATTACCCTTGATCCCGCAATGACTTGGTATCCAAACTAATTTAACTGATCCGTTACTTTCATTTATAAGTTTAATTTGATGTCTTATTTCGAGTAATAAATGAGAAGATTTATTATTGCAACTTATGTTCTGTAGAGCCGTCAGAACAGATTTAGAATCTGAAAAAATTGTAAAATTAATGATATTATGTTTATTAGCTTGATTTATCGTTTCTAATATTGCCATAGCTTCCAGAGAGAATATTGAAGAGTAGCCAGTAGATCGAAATTCAAGTTTAAAAGTTTGGTCCAGTGAATATATCGAAAATCCTGTAAATTCAGCGTTAGTAGTTTTGGAACCATCCGTAAAAAAGCAATATGAAGTATTGAGGGTATCTTGAAAAATTTCTCTGAAAAGTTTTTCGTTATTGTTAGAATTTTTGTCAAAATTGAGACCTGTTGTTAAATCAATTTCCGGTATAGATATTATGGAGTCGAATGATTTTGTGTAGCAAAGTTGTATATGGTTGGATTCTATTAGATGAGAGATGTGTGATAATTCTAAAAAGGTATCTAGTATAATAGACGAAGTATATCTATTAATGATTGTAGGATCATTTTTAATCTTTTTAAATTCATTTAGAGAAGGTAAAATGGGGTGGTTCGATTGGGAGAAAACTCTAGTCATCCAATTTTTGCATAAATATTTAGCTCTAATGAAAGCCGGGGGTTCTTTAGATTCGGCAAGCAAAAAATTAGTTGGAGAAGACATTCTTTGTCCCAGAATTGTTCTTATTGCTTTAAATTGAATACAATCAAGTTTAGATTTCTGAAGTTTCGTGATATTATGTAGTATAAAATTTCCGTAATCTAATTTTGATCTCAGAAGTGTTACATATAAGATTCTAAGTAAGCGAGGGTCGGCTCCCCACCAAGTATGACAGAGACTGCGAAGAATTTTCAATGGATATTGACAAGTTTTCCAGATATGTGAAATATGATGATTCCAATTTAAGTTGGGCGTAAACCACATTCCGAGGAAACGGATTTTTGTGGATGTATAAATTTTTTTATTTTGTACGTTTAGGTATATAGTATTATTGTCCCTGGAATTTAATCTTTTTGCAAACTTACAGAATTTCGTTTTTTCGGGAGAAAGCTCTAGTCCCAGATGGTAAAGTGCAATCGCAATGTCGTTGACTGATTTTTCAAGAATTGATCTAGAAAATTCCATGTTGGATGAAGAACTGAAGATAGCAATATCATCCGCGTATTGTATAAGTTTACAATTTGGATCGCAAATTTTTTCCAATTCTGAAACATAAATGTTATATAATAAAGGGCTTAAAACGCTTCCCTGAGGGAGACCTTTATATGCGAGAATAATTTCATCAATTTCTTCATATCTGCAATGGACTTGTCTTAAGTAAATAGAATTATTGATAAAGGCCAGTATGTTCGGAGAAATACCCAGTTTAATAGGTTTTTGAATTAAGATGTTTGGGATTACATTATCGTAAGCTGATTTAATATCTAAGAAGGAGGCTAAGGCATTCTCGTTCTTTTGAAAAGAAAGGAGAATGTTAGTTTGAAGAAAGGCAAGGTTGTCAATACAACTTTTACTTCTTCTGAATCCAAATTGTGAATTCGGTAAAAGGTTATTAAATTCCAGATACCAATTTAATCTATTCGATATCATTCTTTCCAGGATTTTGCAAAGACAAGAGGCTAAAGAAATGGGTCGAAATTTAAGGCCTTCACCAGATTTAGGAATAAAAAACACCAGATATTTCGACCATTCCGAAGGAAAGGACTGAGAAATGAAAATTCTGTTATATATAATTAGTAGAAGGTCCTTCGCATTAGGGGGAAGTTCAGAAATTATTTTATAATACTATCTAATCCTGGACTAGATCTTGTGTTCAAATGATCAAGAACGTAATTTAGTTCCGTAAGTGAGAAAGAATTATCCAATGAAACATTATAATCTTTATATGGAAGAGAAACAGGGGGAGAAGGGGTTCCTGGAGGAAAAAGGGAGGTTATTAAGTTGGAAACAGTATCTATTGCCTGTTTATTGTAACAGTTTTTCGCCTCAGATTGTGTGATTTTATTTTTAAACGCCCTACCTTTTCTCCAAACATATGTGGGGTCAGAGTTTTTACTTAAATTTTCACAAAAGGATTTAAAATTTTCTTTTTTAATGTTCCTGAGACCAATTCTTATTTTTGCTGATTCTTTTTTATATAGAAGAAAATTAGTTCTTGTTCTTTGTGTTTTAAATCTTTCAAGAGCTTTTCTGCGTTCTAGGATAAGAGCATCACATGCTTCGTTCCACCAAGGACATGGAATTTTATGTTTATTAGTTATCTTTGGAGATTTTGGACTAGAAAGATTATTGTTCGATGAGTGATTAATTGTCATTTTAGACTGGTATTTGTAATAAGGAGAATGAGTATAATCTTTACAACTGTTCTTTTGTGAAGGAGGATATTTACGAGAGGAAGCTTTAGTAATATTTTTGATAATAATTGAGGTGAATGATGTATATAACCCTTGAATATCTTGAATTGTTAGAAGATCTGGTAGGAAATTATTAATATCACTCTTCATATTTTCAGTGAAGGTTGGCCAGTCTGTCTTAGGGGAGTAAAGTTTTGATGGTGTTTTGATTGTAGATTTGAGCGATGCAGAGATATTTATATTAATGAAGATAGGGAAGTGATCACTCCCCCAAGGGTCTTGATTAATTAACCAAGATGTTTCTAATACGATTGAGGAACTAATTAGAGATAAGTCCAATTTCGACGCGTGATTCCTCTCTAAATCCCAGAACGTTGGGGTTTCATCATTTAATAAAGTAATATCTAGGTCTATGATGCCTTCCTCTAGGGGAATAATTTGATCATAAGGTAGGTTAAAATCTCCACCTACCAAGACCTTATCTCGGAAGTTTGCAAAGAAATTACGCCAGCTACGAGAATTTATTCTAGAGCTGGATGGGGGTCTGTATAATGAAATGATAGACATCTTGCCCTGTTTTAGGAAAAGTTCTATTCCGCACACCTCAAGATTTCCCTGACAGTCCGGAATATTATTCAAAATGCTGTATTTTAGATTCGACTTTACCAAAATTAGTACTCCTCCTCCCCTACCGTGCAAGCGATCTTTTCGGATAATATCAAAACCTTTAAAGGAAAATTGATCGTTGGGCTTCAACCAAGTCTCTGAAATCAAAAAAATATCAATATCTGCAGAGAAATAAATCAAATCATTAATTTTGTTTTTAAAACTTTTTGCATTCCATTGAATTATCTTAAGTGACTGGATCATTTGCATTCTTACTATTTGTTTGCGGGTCCAACTTACGTTGGGGATTATTACGAACATTAAGCAACTGTAATATCTCGTCGAGGATAAGTTCTGCATCCGGAGAGTTAGTAACCCGCAACAGAAGGTCCTTGATTTTGTAAGAAAGACCAGCTTTCCAGGATGTCGGAGGATTCTTCTTAAAGAGATCTGCAAAGGATGGCACATTCGGAACGTCCAACCTTGATGAAAGATTTGGGAAGTTCACTAAATCTTTGATAAGATGGGTTTCATTTGGATTATTTTGAGACAATAACGAGCGTCTTGCTTCCAGGTAAGATATATTATCGAAAGCCATTTTTTTGTTAATTTCAGAATTCAGAATGAATTTTGGACATTTCCTATCTAGAGCATGGTGTGGACCGCTGCAGTTGATACATTTGGGGGTTTCCTTACAATGGATATCTGCCGATAAGAGGTGCGTTGTTCCACAATTCAGGCATATGTTGTGAGATTGTTCACATCCCTTGCTGGTGTGTCCTAGTTTACCGCATTTGTAGCATCTTCTTACTGGAGTCATGTATGGTTGAACAAAAAGATTAACTTTCCAAATTTTTAGGCTTTTTGGAAGATCTTGACTCTTGAATTCTACGCAGACTGATTGAGAATCGATCCATTTTTTGGTATTGGGGTCTCTTCTTTTTAGTCTGAATAAAAAATTAATTTTGATCAGCGGGTTATCTTTTTCTAATGTAGCTTGTAGTTTGTCTAGTGAAATATCATTTGGGATGCCTTTGATTACACCTTTTCTGCATAACTTATATTTAGGAATGTATAATGATAGTCCCAGTTCCGCAATGTATTTATTTTTAATTGATGAGTTAGCATCATGAAAAGACTTAAAAGAAATCTTCCATGTGTTCCAGGCGTGGTGGTCAATTTCTTCAAACTTGATGTTTGCCTTAGACAGAAGTCTGGCAGCTTCAATAATAGAAGTAGATCTTTTCTTTTGTTCAGATATTTTTCTAACAAATACAATATATGGACCTTTGTTATGACGGTCGTACCATAAATTATTTGTAACTGTGTTATCCTCTGATTCAGAGATTTTATTTTGAAGATTTCTTTTCTGATTGAGCGAAATATTAGATGTTGAAGATAAAGATTTGACTGCCTTTGGAAGGAGTTCTTCTTGAGGAGGATCAATATTTAGTATTTTCTTCGATTTTGCTTTTTTGGAATCCGTTTTTGACGATGGCGTCTGTTTTTCCTTTGTTTGATCCGTAAGCCCCGATGAATCGTCGGATGTACTTGAATATTGTCTTTTTAGATGAGTTCTATCCAATATAATATCCATTATCTGATCTTGTGATATATTTTGCAAATCATCAGCTTCATTTTTCTTCTTATCGATTGCGTTGTTAGACATTTTAAGAAATGCAGGCGGGAGAGAGGGGTCTCTCCCGCCTTGAGTATTGAGGTTATCTATTGTTACCTTGTTTTAGATTTAAAAATTTCCTTACACACAAAAATGAAAGCGGTAAAGTCCAAAGAAAATAACAGAAGGGAACCCTTGGGTAAAAACCCAAGTATATGAAACACTGCGCACACCTATACAAACTAAGAAAAAACGCTAAACTCCGGCCTGCTTTTTTCCGGCCCGCTTTTAGGTGATCCCTGAAAGCGATGAATTTAGTTTTGATGAATTACTACTGATTGGGACATCTGCCGTGGAATGCAGGAAACCTATATGTAACGTTAAGTATATAATGGACATTTCTGTATGTTTAAACGGTAACATAGCTGCAAGGTGTCAATTGCTTAACTACTTATAGCGATTTCGGCTGGTCTGCACCGACTGCACATTTCGGGTGTGTATGTTCGGCTGGTCGAATGGTGCAGTCCCTCACTGGAGCTGCGTATTCGTCTGGGCTCAGTATCGCACAGGTGCATGTTGGGTGTACACAAAGTGGCTCTCACAAATTTGTTGGAGCCAGTTGGTGTAATCGGCCAGTTGGTGTTGTTACGTCCCGGTTACTAAATAATAGAGAACTACAATACCGGTGGTTAACATAATTATTTTATTCAAATGTCTCCCGTGTTTTCAGTCATTCACCGGGTTTACTGGGGATGAGGGAGATTGTGATCTATTGTCAAATTTAAATTGTATTTTAAATGAGAGTAAATAGAATGAAAAGTTAAAATAAGATAATATGATATAACTAGATGATTAAATTATTTTAGAGAACGCAATTGATCATGAAGTAATGCTACCAGAATAAGTAAAATTAAAATAACCAAGATCAATACACAGATTACTAATTCTTTCATAATACATATTAATAATTAATAATAATTAAGCAATAATAATTGATCTTAAATAAGTGAATAATTATATCAAATAAGATAATATTGACAAAGACGTATTGGTAATTAATAACTCGGTAGAAATCTAATTGATAAAATTAATTTCTATTATAATATAATTAAAGAAAGGAATAAAATAAAAATAAATTTTAACTCACCAAAATTATAACTACTCCCTTCTTACTGGGAGAAAATTTGAGATTCTTCCTTCCTTCTAAATTTGTCGGAAGTAGCGCTTGAAATTCAAAGACCCAATAGCGTGAATTTTCCAAGGGATGACAGGTTTTAAAACTCAGCGGTAGAGAGTGGTTCTCAATAAAATCTCGTAGAACTTTCCAATTAACTCTACGTATATTGCATAAAATATAAGTATATAGGTAGATACAATCAAGTCAGAGAATAATGCAGTGAACAATCAGCGAAAATCAGAGTTCGTCCTAACTGTAGGCCGGAGAAAAATCTACTGGCGCTCCGTGACAATGGCCGGTAGACGCTGGTCCTCCTTGGTACGAGTCAGTGGGGACTTAGATAAGGCGAATTTCATCATTTCCTTTGTCCATTCGAATATCGATCTGCCATTCTTGGTATGAAGATGTTATGTTTAGCTGATTAGCGAGAGCGAGTCGCCGTGTGAGAATTACATGGATGAACCTTACAATTTATTACAGATTTACTTCCTTCTTCCAACGCTGACTATGTACAATTTTGAATGTTTTGTTCTTATTACCTAGACCTGATATTACTTAAGTGGAATAATTAACCAAAATTTTACAAATGATGTCATAATGAGAAATGAGTTACCAGTAATAGTCGTTATCTGTGATTATGATTTACATTCCATGATAGATAAACGACAGCTGAATCCCGAAGGCGTTTTAAAATCGCTCCTTTGTACAATGCATTATTCGTAGACGAATTTATAATTCTTTTATATCTTCATAATTTTAATACTATAACTCTAATGAATTTGGTTAAAATAGTCATTAAAAGTAACTAGAAGTAAGTAATTAGAACATGAGTAAGATTAATTAAAGATAAACGCAATTATAGCGTTAATACAAAAAGAAAATAATATCTCCTTCAATCTTGCTCTTACGTGATTAGATAGAACTGAACAAATTCCAACAGGGTAAAGAAGGAATCTGTTTATATGGTAAAAAGAGAAAGTTTATTGGTCGGGACGTCACAGTGTGTAAGCACTGCACACACTTGCACCAACTTTACACAGGTGGCACACCAGTGCAGACCAGCCGAAATCGCTATTAGCTTACAATAGATCCTCTTTATTAACGCCAGAAAAGAGAATTCTTTTGATCGATTCGACTGTTTGCCAGAATAAGTACAAACAAATAGAATATGTGGCACAAATAAAACATTTTCATCCCGAGATTATCGATCGCTATTTGGCTGCAATAGATGAAATATCAAATAATATTTCAACAAAGTTAGCATTAGATGATCAGTTCGATACATTACAGGTATATTTTTTTCACTTCTTTACAAGCAATAATATTACTTAATAATATCACTTTGTTATATAATGTTTTTGTGTAATATCATCTAAAAGATGTGCAAATATAATTATCCGATACAAATGCAATATTGTTTTTTAATTTATACTTTTTAATACTTTATAGAATTACATTCAAATGAATCAACATCTGACAAGGAGAGGTCGCGACCTTGGGATCACCGAATTAAATAAAATTTTAACTGCGTGTAGTACTCGACCAAAGAAGTTTTTGAGGAAAGTGAGAGGACGCAACGCTCAGCCGTTTAAAAAAAAACCAAGTGAAAAATAGGCCGTATCTTGTATACCGGTAGGTTCAGACAGATCGTCAAATAAGCGGCGTAGCTCGGGCGGTAAAGCCCAATATTATTTTGCTGCTGATCACAGGTTCGATCCCGACCTGTGGTAGTTTCTTTTTTTTTCATTTTTTTTTTACATAAAACGTACAATATTTTTTTAATAAAAAAAATAAATAAATAATTTAATTTTTTTTGTTTTTATTTTATTTTTATTTTAGGAAAGGTAATTATTTACGATATGTTAATTTATATTAAATTTTATAAAACGTCACAATTCTATATATTCTACTCGATACTAACAAAAAAATATATAAAATTATTATGCCACTTATTAATTAATTATAAAATTTAATCGAGGAAGAAAAAACAATACACAATTTTATATATTTTTTGTTCCTTAACTTCTCTTCTTTCAATAATAATTAATTAATATTATTAATATTAATTATAATAATTATTAATATTAATTAATAATTATTCATATTAAATTATGAAATAATTAGCGAGAAGTTACCGTAAATATTTTTATTGTAAACTTTGTCAAAACAATTAATTTTTTATATACAACTCCATTCGGTGATTTTCGATAATGTAGATTGATTGAGAGAACTAATGACATTTCATTTCATAGATTTTATTTTTGTAGACTTTTTCATTTTGTTAATAAATAGCTGTGTATATTTCGATTGATTATTAAATAGTCTATTATTACACAGGGTGTTCTAAAATGTACGTCAAAAATTTAAGGAGATATTCCTCACACACCTAAAGGATGAAAAAAAATATATATATGGACATAGGTGCGGAAATGCTTATTTCAGGAGTTATTTTAAAAATACTGTTAGCTGTATTATTTACACAAGGAAAAATTTAGGATTAATTATTATAGACAAAAATGCCACCAGTGCGTGATATTCGAAATCTTCATAACCGTATCACTGCAGGTTGCGAGACAATCCGCTGTACGCCAGACATTTTGGAACGTGTCTGTGAATCAATGCGGCGATCACTGCTTGTATTCAGGAAAATGATGAACATTTTCAACATTTATTATAACATACTCAAGGTCACATTAAAATCAAATGTAAATAAGCCTAAGTAAACGATTGTCGTCTGCAATAATTAATCCTAAATTTTTCCGCGTGTAAGTAATACAGCTAACAATATTTTCAATGTAACTCCTGAAATAAGCATTCCCGCACCTATGTCCATATAACATTTTTTCATCCTTCAACTGTGAGGAATATCTCCTTATATTTTTTACATATCTTTTTAGAACACTCCGTATAGTCTACTTTTGAATACGTAAAAAACAAAGATGTGCATTAAAAAAGATGCAAGATAATGAAAAGGATGATTTTTTTGGTACATTTTAATAAACGCAAATAATAAAACATATAATGAAGCCAACTTATACTAATATATTTGTGTAAGAAACATTTATGCTTTCTCGCGTATAACATTATCATTCGATAAATGCAATAAAGGAACAAAAATTTTTCAAAAATAACAAAGTGCATATTTGAACAAATATAATAAACGTGTACATATTTAAACTTTTAAATTACTACATATATATATGCGTTGCTAATAGATAGTAAAAGAGAAAAATATGTTCATTTTATTTTTTTATTTTACAGACTGGAGCAATTTTATACATTGAAATCTTACATATATGTATATATGCATGTAAAAAAATTAATGGACAAAGCATTATCCTTTTCTGGATTTTTATTCTCAAGATGTAATCGAGATGATGCATTTTACTTATTATTAATCGAATTAAGCTTTACGCAATGCAATCTAAAAATAACAAGGGTGGCGCTGTTTATGGTCTGCATTAAAATTACATAATCGATTTCTATTAAATGATATAATTCAATGTACGAATATTTTATTTCAATTACAAAATAATTTACGTCAAAGTATTTTGTTCGTATTTGCATAAAATATTACATCCGAAAAATGTAGATACATTTATATGTGTACTACGAAACTAGATATGTAAATATCACATAAATTGCATCAGTACAAATAATAACAATTTATTTAACTTTTACACATTACAAATAATATATCATTTTCAAATTTCCAAATTACGTGTAAGTTTTGTGAATATTTTCTTATTAAAATATATTAAAGAAAAAAAGAACGTTCAATACATTGTAATCAATGTTTAGATTCACGATTTCAGAGCGCTGCTTTATTATTAAAACGAAATCAGTAACGATCAAGACGCAAATTATACAAATACAAAGAAAACATACTTTGACGTAAATTATTTTATAATCAAGAGACACGGTAGTGTCTTGAAGTCGAGTCATCACTCAGGCGCAAGACACACCGTGTATGTTTACGCGAGTGGCTAAGTTGCGAGTAATGCATATTATCGGTTCTCAATAACCGTTGAATCGTCAAAACGTTGAATCAATCAAATTCTTATTAGGTTCAATCAATTGCTTGGGTTCGATTTATATAAGGAAAGTATCTTTATTTTTGCTCTATATGCTCTATAAGCAGAAATATAACGATGCAAAGTATCAATGTGAAACTTTTTGATTAGAAACGTCACCGTCGTGGCTACATTTTTCACATATTTTTTTGTACGATTCGCACATTTGACGAAAGAGGCGCTGTGTTCACGTGACGAAGAGAGATGTATAACTTTTTTATCATGCGAGAAATTACCGACTGTAATTGAAATGAATTGGTCGGTACATAATATACTTTACACACACACGCACGCACACACACGCACGCACGCCACGCACGCACGCACGCACGCACGCCACGCCACGCACGCACGCACGCACGCACGCACGCACGCCCACGCACGCACGCCACGCACGCACGCACGCACGCACGCACCACGCACGCACGCACGCACGCACGCACGCACGCACGCACGCACGCACGCCAACGCACGCACGCACGCCACGCACGCACGCACGCACGCCACGCACGCACGCACGCACGCACGCACGCA